ACCTAAATATGTTTGTGTTCGTAGGTGCCTCTTTAAAGGGTATTATGTTTATTGAGAATATGAATATATATAATTTTTTTAAAATTTCTCAGTACCTGTCACCATTCCTGATACTTCATGCAAGCACAATAATTTTTTGTTGGATGGAATTATGCCCAGTCTAAAAATGTCAGTACTTTCATGTCCCTGTTAGCACTTATTAAAATACATGCCATGGGAGTGTATAAAAATTTATTAATCTTATTCCTATTTTTCCATTTTCTCATATTAATCCCATTCCCTTCTACCCTTTCTCCTAGCCATCCCACTTCCTTCCCCTTTGCCCCTTTTCTTCCTATTTTACATTACCTATTATACATTTAGTCCTTATTTACACTTTCAGTTTCTCACACCAGAGAAACTATTCGGTATTTATACATGTGTGTCCTATTTATTTCACTTAAGAGTATCGCCTCAATGTGCATCCACTTAGCTATAAATGTCTCTAATTTCTCATTTTTTATGGCTGAGTAGTACTCCATTTTATTGTTTAAAAACCACATTTTCTTGATCCAGTCTCCAGTTGATGGGCATTTGGGCTGTTTCCAAGTTTTAGCTATCACAAACTGTGCCGCTATGAACATAGGCGCACATATATCACTGTGGTATGATTCTTTTAATTCTTTGGGGAAGATCCCCAGAAAATGGGTCAAATGGAACTTACAGTCCTAGTCCTTTGAGGTATCTCCATACTGATGTCCACAGTGGTTGCACCAGTCTACATTCCCACCAGCAGTGGAGCAGGGTTCCTCTTTCCCCACAGCCCCGCCAGCATTTGTTATTGGTTGATTTCATGATAGCAGCCATTCTTTCTGGAGTGAGGTGGAATCTCAGCATTGTTTTCATTTGCATCTCTTGAATGACCAGTGATGTTGAACATTTTTTTATGTATTTATTTGCTATTTCTACTTCTTTGTCTGAGAAATGTCTGTTCATTTCAGATGCCCATTTTCGGATTGGGTCTTTAAATTTGGGAGGTCTGATCTTTTTAAGTTCTTTATAGATTCGAGATGGTAGACCTTTGTCTGAGGAAGTAATAGGGAGGACTGGAGGGGTTGAAGGGAGGGCTGGGCAAGGGTGAAAAATAAGAACCAAGAGAGACTATGTAAAGGTGCAAATTTCCAATGATGAATGTCGTTACATTGTATACCTAAAATGTACCAATGATTAGAATGAATAATTGATAATGCAAAATAGGAAGAAAAGGTCCAAAGGGGTAGGGGTAGTGGGAGGGGCAGGGGAAAGGAAAGAAGGGAAAGGAAAAATGATGAGAAATGGAAAAAAATGTAAATAAAGTCTTTGTAAATAGGGAAGGGTGGAGGGTGTGAAGGGAGGGCTAGGAATGGGGAAAAAATAAGAACCAAGATGCATTATGTAAAGGTACAATCCCCAGTGAGAAATGTAATTGTGTTGTATACCTATAATGTACCAATAAAAGAATTTAATAACAAAAAAATTCATTAATCTTAGAGTTCAGCATTTTTTTGGCTTTAATGAATTTACAAAGGTAGTAAAGAACAAAAAAATTTAGAGAAATCATTATTTAACACTCCAGTTAGAGAATGTGAAAGCATGGAATAATTCATATGTGTTATTCATGAAGAATCCCTTTGCAGAAGATAAAAATACATCTCAAAATCAAATTATATCATCATCTAGGCAGGTGGTTACTATAGCACTGAAGGGAAAAAAGGAGACAGTAAAATTAACTAAAGTGTGTTGGAGTAAAAAAATATGTAAAGTATTCAAAATCTATGAAATTAGAACTTTAAATACTGAGTTTGAATTTGAGTGGGCTGAGGGTCACTTTTAATTTAACAGCTATATGATGCCAGGAAGGCTACATGCCCAGAACAGTGCTGGACAATGTGTAGCATCTATTTCATTTTCTGGCCATCATAGAAACCTACCAGATGTCATCACAGAACCATTAGGTTCATAAAAATTAAGTATCTAAAGAAAAACAGGTTTTTTTCAAAACTGGAAAATTCCATTTATTTTATCACCCCCCCCCCCGCCCCTGCCCAGTCTTAAAAATGAAAGTCTTCTCACTTTCCTAGTCATCCAGTTGGAGAGGAGATGTAAGTGATGGTCAGAACCAGAGCTGTAATAACAGAAACCCCAATCATTCAGCTGTCTAGACCCCAAATATTCAGTAGCACAGAACATTACCAGGGTACCTAATGTCATACAAAATATTACTGCTCAAAACAATGTATCTAGCCCACCTTGTTTCAGGGAGACAACTTCATTAATTGAAAGTCATATATTGAAAAACTGATTGGGATTACAAGTGAGAACACCAAGGTAACTTCATGCAACAGTGAATTGTGTATAAACTGCCCCAAGAAGACAATGGGAACCATTCACAGAATAGTCTTGGTATTGCTGAATGAGGACAAATAAGGTTATGACTGGAGTGAATTACTGTAAACACTCATTGGTTCTTCATCCTCCATAAATGATATATAACTGTGGAAAATATTGAAAGAATATTGCACTGTCCATTGGATTGAAAAGGCACTAAATGTTCATAAACGTCAAAGCCCAAACTTACATACTCCTTATTAGAATGGATTTATTTATAGTTCTTATATCTCATGCTTTCCATCCAAATCTCTCAAGATAGGTCGTAGAATTTCTTGTCTTAGAGGTTATAGGTAGAACATAGACCATGCTCTCCTACCGAGAAGAAGATAAACACTGGGACCTCTCAAATGTCTTTCCTGAGTTCCCCCACACTAGCTCTTTTGAATACACATTTTAATTGCTCATCAATTAAGGTTCAAATGTTGGCGAAACTGTGCTAAAAATCTTCCACTCTTCTATGTTTTCATTAAATCTTCTTGCAGACATGGGATGCTTTATTGTAAATGCAAGGTTACATCCTAAAAGGCATTGTCTATTCTTATGAAAAGAGCCTAGATTACACTGAAGTAGGCAAATGAAATTATTTTGGGGGATTGAAAACTAAAGACTCATAAGATATATATAACCCTCCAGTAGTTCACCGGTGAACTTGGAAATACCGATTAGAATATGCATATATAACGCTTTTAGGATGTAAGAGTCAGCATATATAATCCTAGAAATATTAAGCAAACATTCTGATAAGCTACTGTGATATAATGTATGTCACTAAAACATTTTGTCTCTAAAGTGTTTCTTAACAGAATTTCTTTCACCTGGCACCTTTCAATATTTATTGTCAGAGGCTTGTTTTCTCCTTTGAAGTTTCTTTCCCCAGTCTGCAGCACTTTAATAAAGTGAAGGTTTTCACTCTAGAGAAGCACTGAAGCAAAGAAAAGCTTCATGGAGCCATACTGAGAAAAGGAAAACACAGCACATTAATTCAGCCTTCTCTTGCTGCCCTCTTTCTATCAATAAAGTCGGAAAAATTAAACAAGAAAATTCAAATGGAAGCATTTCAACATATACAGAGAGTTTGAGGGGGTTTTATTCTTACATGTGCCAAACAAAAGTCTACACAAAGCTGCTAAAGCTTTTTGACATCATCAAGTCCTTTTCTGTGAGTCATTAAGTTGCTGAAGCCCGGAAAATCAAATTTGGTTTAGGGCTGTTTGATAATGGAGTAACACAATAAAATGTGATTCACCAATTAGCTCATGTAATTGAATAATCAAAAACATGCTCTAAGTGAGTGGTGGATACACATTAGTCCATTGTCAGTGTCATTTTGGTTTTTTACTGATTACAGTTGTAATTCCACCTCCAGTTGATAACACTACTTCCAGATTCCTTATGGAAGAGAATCCACAAGTACCTGGATTTGTAAATCCAATAAATAAATGAATTATTTCATTCATTTATTCATTACATTGATCACTCTTTCCTTTCATCATTTTTTTAAACTAGGCTCCATATTAGGCAGTGGGGCTGGATATCTGGCCCTTGCTTCCATATAGCTCTCAATCTGCAAGTACAGGTTTAATTTAATTTCTTCTGAGATGGAAAAATAAACTGAATTTAGGACCCTACAAAATCATTGTTTCGGTAGTTGAAAATTTGTCTCTCTGTCTTATTCTAAAATTCTAAAATTCTAGTTATGTTGCCAAGACACAAGACACAAGAAACAGTCAATTTGAGAATTCTCTTGGTTAGAAGTGTTGTCTGGCTGAGAAGAAATCCGTGATACATAAAAATGGAAACTGAATTAGATTATTTTAAAACTATTCTTCATAATTCTATACAGACATCTGTTGCAAGCTAAAGTGTGCGACTGTGTTTAAAATGTATTTATTTTAAATTAATTCTGTAAATTCAAGGGTTGATTAGATGGTTAAATCAATTCCTCACTAGAAATTTCAAAACATGTCTTTTCTTTTTATTGCTACTAAAGTCCATGGGCATGGTTACATGGTCCATAGATTCCCAGTAAATATAATAAAAGAACAATGGGAATGCATTACCTGAGCTTGAACCAATAAAAAACACATTTCTTAGCAGGCATTCTTTTTAATTTTTAAAAAATTACTCTCTAATTGCCAGGAAGTAGACATAGTTACTCTTGATGTTATTTTGCTAGAAAAAAAATAAATTTTAAAAGGCCAATACTTTTGCTCACATTATCACTGATATTGAAGTTCATATTTTATTATTTATTAATGAAAGTTCCTTTCTTTTGTAATTACCACATTGCTCCTTGATGATTTGTTGTTTCTAAACTCGACATACATACTTTATACTGTCCACTTCCACTGAAAAAAATCACAAATTTCTAAAGGCTGCAATAATCTTTGATTATCTTTGTAGTGTCTTATTTATATATTTTAGACTGCCTTGGATTATATTTCATTTGAACAAGAACATATAATCACAAACACCAAGAAAATTAGGTTTGCTCATGGACAGAATGAAAATTTAAACTTCAAGCGTTTTTTAAATGCAGTGTCTCCTCCTCAGTATATACTTAATAGTTCTCCTCTTCTCCCCATTTACAGGTCAATGGGACTGAAATCGAATATGAATTTGAAGAAATTACATTGGAGAGGGTAAGAAAAATTTAAAAATTCTAAGTCCCAATTTTGCATTCCACATTTCAGGTTCTAATTGTTTATCTTCTGAAATTATACAGCTATATATTATAATCTGAAGGTTTTTCATAGGACTCACAGGAAAATATTAGGGAAATTTAAACATGGAAACTACAGACCTAATAAACACAATATTCAGTATATAAATTATATTAACAGCATTTGGAGAAATGAATGGGAAGAACAGAAATGTTCCACAAGTTTGTATAGTACTTTATTCTTAGCTTTTTATTGTTAGTGTTTTGGCTATACATTTGTAGTATTTGTTGCAAGATATTATCATTTATGTGATATTAATATTAACATCAGAACTGCAGTTACTATGGATTATTATTTTTAAATGCAGCAATGAATTTTAAAGCCACACCAATGAGGAAAGACATAGCAACCCTGCAGAGCCCAGTAAATATGCTGGAAGAAACTTGGCAGAAGCCTTTGGCAAATGAAGGAAACTATGCAGTGTAGCACACAGCCTCAATACATTTAGATATCTAAGAGAAAAGTCAAACACCGTATTTAAAAAATGACCAAAAGGCATTCACAAGATGTTCATCATAATAGAAAAGCCAATAAATATAAGAAAATCTGTTCACCTTCATTAAGAAACAATGAAAGACAATATGGGTAAACAATTTTTTACTCTACTTGGTAAACATTTAAAAGGAATGCTGATGGTGGTCCTGGAAATCCATGCACCCTAGAAGAGCAATTTAAATGCATGATCAAAAGCCTGAAAAATAGATGCAATTTTGGTCTATAAATTGTATGTGTAGGAATGGACAAATCCACAAAAATTGCTCATAATTAGTATTGTTTATATAATAAAGACTGAAAATGGTGCCTAATAATGTTAAATATCTATATAATAGATTATATTTTAGAAAAATTTTAAATATTTTAAAATATTTTATGGCAGGGATATGAGGTCTATCTAAATGAGTTTAAATTTAAAAGTTAAGATTTAAAATAGTGTTACAAATATTATCTAATAAACACAAAGTTATACATATGCAATATATGTATAAAATACCTGCATAAAACCTGACTGGATATACACAAACATTTAAGGGGCTGTATCCTGTTAAAGATTTTTGAGTAATTTTTAGTTTCTCTTTTTATTTGTGTTTATTTCCTCAGTTTGTTATAATAAATATATTATACATTTATAATAAATAAAAATGTATTTTTCTCTAAGCCATCATCTAAGTATGAATTAAGACTCTAAAAGTATTCTTTAATTTATATCTCCTTTTTAATTTATTGCTTATTCACTTCCCTGAGTCAGGAAATTTCTCATCTTTAGCTTCATTTTTATTGAGTGTGAGTGGTTTTAAAAGGAAATTTACATTGAAAGTTAAGTGTTTGACTGATGTGATCTTTAAAGCTTCCATTATGGATTTTAATAAAATTTTAATGGCATGCTAAATAGAAAAAAGTGAAGCTTATAGAAAATTAGCCCAAATGAGAAAAAAGAACACACTTTTAAATCACTTACTTTCTCTCTAGACCTGGGTATATTGTTTGTGGAGTGCAGTACAAAATGAAAATGGAGGGCCCTTCTAAATGCCCCCACCAAATATACCTAAATATCTTGAATAGAACATCATTTTGTTATTATGGTTTTATGAATTAGAAAACTCTTGGGAGCTAATGGTGAAAGGGGGGGGGGATACAGTAGGAGTCAGATAATTATAGTTTCTGCCCTAAATTCTGATTCTTAGTTGTATCTTGATCTTGAACATGCATTTCTCCTCCCTCACTTCCTTCCCTAAGGCTCCCAATCATACTCTGAAACTTGTCATGACCATTAACTGTACCCTCCAAAACTCCTATGTCAATCATCAACTTCTCTGAACAGTGCTTCTTGTCTGTCCCTGTCATTTATTCTAGTGCTCTTCTCCAGAAATTCTCCACTCCACAATGGGGCCTTGATCACTGATTTCACAAATTCCCCCATTTACACCCTTCTTTATGTGCTCATTCCCTTCTCACCTATCAGACATTACCTGTTCCATCACTCTATCCCTCTTGTGTACTCTTACCATGTCTTCTTCTTCCCTTTTATATTCACCCAGCAAAACCTCAGCCTTGTGTAACTTAGTATGGTTAAACCAGTAGCTTCCTAATCATCCCATGCCAGCAACTGGACATAGCTACTAAAACATTCATTTGTCCCATATTAAAATTATCAACATTGATTTAAATGAACCCACAAAATCTCCTGACAATCTTAAACATATTTTAGGGGAAAAAAGTCACTTTTTCATTCTCTGAGACATCATTGCACATCCAATTTGATCTCTTCAAATCTCAAAAGAACCTTCATCTTCATTTTTTAACTGTCAATCTCCTTTCATATATCCTTGCCCAAGCAACCAAATGAAAAAAATCTCACATTCAAAGCTCCAGATTTGCTACCTTCCTGTCCCCAGGACAGTGAAGGAATTTTCCTACTCTTTTCAAGGCAACTTTTCTCTTGTGGATGATTTCTTAATGTCTTGTTAATTTAATGACTTAGCTTCTTTGGTTATTTTACCTCTCTTCTGGAATATCAATTCCTCTCATACTTTTTCCTGAATAACTTTAACATAGACAAAATGTAATATGTCTCATCTTAAAAAAAATTAGCTGTCATTTGACTCAGTGTTCCCCTCATACTGTTGCCTTATTATTTTATTTTACTTTACCAAAAATCTAGGTAAATTTTGTGTTTTCATTATCTCTACTTAGCACTTCCTTTTCTTATTTTAATTTATTTTCTGTTTTACTTTCCAGCATAATCTTAAAACTCTGTCAAAAATATAAAAGAGCCCATCTTGTTAAATGTATGCCTCATTTCTCAGTCCTGACTTCTAAGGAGCATGGAATGCGTCTGTCACTGGTACCTTTATCAAAGATGTTCTAAAATAACAGGTTCCATTTGACCCAGCTATTCCCCTTGTTGGTATTTTCCTAAAAGAGTTAAAAATATCATACTACAGTGATATATGCACACCCATGCTTATAGCAGTGCAATTTGTAATAGCTAAATCTTGGAAACAGCCCAAATGTCCACCAATGGATGAATGAATAAATAAGATGTAGTTTTTTATATACAAAGGAGTACTACTCTCCAATAAAAAAGGATAAACTTGAGACATTTGTAGGTAAATGGATGCACCTTGAGACCATATTTTTAAGTGAAATAAATCAGACATGGATGTCTAAACATTGCATTGTTTCTCTTGTATGAGAAACTGAAAGAGTACATAAGGACCAAAATGCATGACAGATATCGGGAAGTAGGACAAAAATGTTCAAATGGGAAGGGGAGCAAGGGCAGGGGAGAGAGAAGGGAAAAAATATAAGAAAAAATGGAAACAAAGTTTTTGTAAATAGGGAGGGGAAGAAGGGTTGAAGGGAAGGGAGAGGAATGGGGAAAAAAGAATCAAGATATATTATGCACAGGTACAAATTCCCTATGATGGTTGTGATCATTATGTATATCAAAATGTACTGATAAAATTAATTTTTAAAAATTAAATAAAATGAAAATCTTAAAAAAACAAAGATGTTCATATTTTAACTTCCAGAACAAAACATTTTCTGTGCTCTCACTCACTGCCTTTTTCAGTCTTCTTGTTGACTTTTACTCTAAATGTTGGATTATTCCAGATTCTCAGTGAACAAACTCCTTTTCAACCTCTCCTTATTCCTCAAATTATCTCATCCAAACTGATGGCTTTAAATACCAGCAAGGAATAGATAACTCTTAAATTCAAAGTCATGACCTCTTCATTAAGCTCACTGTGTGTACCTAATTTTCCAGTTGACAACTTGCTTAAATATCACGGAAACCTCTCCAAAGCACCCACTCCCTCAAAGCCATAGATGCTTTTGTCCTAATATTCACCATCTTAGCTAATTGGGTCTATCATTTTCTTTATTAGCCCCAAAATCATAAAAGTTTTGACTAATTACTTTCATCAGATCCAAGAACAAATTCTTATTGATGTTTCCCTAAGATATATTTCAAAATCAACAAGATCTGCTTTGGTGAATCTTAGTCCAAACTGATATTATCTTATGCTTGGACCACTGGGATAGCTTTTACTTTTCCACACCGTTTGCCTCCAAGTAATCAGAGTAGTATAAACCAGGCCATACCACTTTTATTCTTAAATTTCTCCAAAGGGTGAGAATTACATCCATTATCACCACCCCACAAAGCTTTGCACACTGTCATTTCTGCTTTCTCCAACATTTCACCCTTTTGTTTGATTCTTCACACTTCATGTTAGCCACACTGACATTCTTGACATTCCTCAAAAAAATCCAAGCTTTTCTCACCTCAAAAAATTTATTAATTTTATTTTATCTGCCTGGAAAAATCTTCCTGTAAATCTTTACATGGCTCCTTCTTTTTTAATATTTACTTAACTGATAAGATGCTATCTCCTCAGAAACATCTTTCCCACTCACATCACTTAAATTAGTAGCAACATTTTCGTCACTCCTTTTCATACCCCACAGCTTTATTAGTATTTAATTCTTTTTGGTATCTGAAATGTATTTGTTTTATTTTGTTAATATTTATCACATCCTCAATATATGTTATATAAATATATAGTCACTTCTTTAATGTATCTAGAATAGTGTCTGGAATGTAGCGTATACTCAGTGAAAATTCGGCACATGAATGGATTATATGTGGCTGTACCATTAGAAGGACTGTGAAGTATATATAAATGTTTGAATCCAGCTTGGATATCCTGATAAGAATCCAGGCTGAATATCCAGCCTCTATCGCTTGCTAGTCAGGTGACCTGAAACTGCATATTTAACTTCTCCAGACCTGTATTATCACATCTGAGAATGAGGCTGAAATCATTTGTAGAACATTCTAGATCTTCAATATTATTAGTTATTGCAAAGTTTACACACATAGAGACACACGCACATATACTCACACTCATTTT